GGTGTACAGGGAGAACACTGTAAGAACGGCCCATGTTCAGAATTATTTTGCTGTACATTTCAAAAGTGCTAAACAAATAGTTATATTGACTACGTCCATCCTAGCCCGCTCATTAATGTCTTAATCGAAATTATGGATTGCCTCTTATCCGCTTGTCGTCACCTTATGCCATAGTTTGTACATCTCAATTGTCATTAGAAACCACATTTGTTTAAGCATGTCAGCTATGTTTTTTTTAAAGGCAGTAAATGAGGCTGAATGAACTGTTTCGCTGCCAGAGAAGGCTCCACTGATAGCCAGGTGTAGCAGTGGTAAGATGTTGGGACGGCTTTATGTAGACCCTAACAGTTTGTGGGCACCGTTTGTCACTGTTATAGTGCAATGGATGTATTGTTTAGTGTTGTGTTGTGTGTTGGCTTTGCTGGCATGCATCCCACTTTCTTTTTTTTTGCCCCACCAAGATTTACATGCTAAACCCACTGGGTTGGTTCAACATTTCTAAAGGGACTTTTGATATGATAAAACAAAGGCCATTTACTAAAATATTAGGACATTATTTACGAGACATTGTTAATGGTGAAGATGAGGCTCTGATCTATATGTTCCCTCAGCATGTAGAGGATCAGAGATGATCAGGTCCATGGGAGCAGGTGTGTGAGACTGTCGGAGAACCACACAGGGAGGGGCTACCAGTGGGGTTTATGCTTTTTATCATCACTTTGGGTCTAAACAAGCCTTTTAGCAGAGGGATTACTGCAGCAACCTCACCCAGTGTGTCAGATGCATGATTAGGCTATATAAATGGGACTCTTTTCTATGTAAAGACTAGCTCAAACTGATGGTGAACTGTCAATCTCCCTCGGCCTGGGGCTCCATGCAAGATCTCACCTCGTGGAGTTGCAATGATCATGAGAACGGTGAGGAATCAGCCCAGAACTACACGGGAGGATCTTGTCAATGATCTCAAGGCAGCTGGGACCATAGTCACCAAGAAAACAATTGGTAACACACTACGCCATGAAGGACTGAAATCCTGCAGCGCCCGCAAGGTCCCCCTGCTCAAGAAAGCACATATACAGGGCCGTCTGAAGTTTGCCAATGAACATCTGAATTATTTAGAGGAGAACTGGGTGAAAGTGTTGTGGTCAGATGAGACCAAAATCGAGCTCTTTGGCATCAACTCAACTCGCCGTGTTTGGAGGAGGAGGAATGCTGCCTATGACCCCAAGAACACCATCCCCACCGTCAAACATGGAGGTGGAAACATTATGCTTTGGGGGTGTTTTTCTGCTAAGGGGACAGGACAACTTCACCGCATCAAAGGGACGATGGACGGGGCCATGTACTGACAAATCTTGGGTGAGAACCTCCTTCCCTCAGCCAGGGCATTGAAAATGGGTTGTGGATGGTTATTCCAGCATGACAATGACCCAAAACACACGGCCAAGGCAACAAAGGAGTGGCTCAAGAAGAAGCACATTAAGGTCCTGGAGTGGCCTAGCCAGTCTCCAGACCTTAATCCCATAGAAAATCTGTGGAGGGAGCTGAAGGTTCGAGTTGCCAAACGTCAGGCTCGAAACCTTAATGACTTGGAGAAGATCTGCAAAGAGGAGTGGGACAAAATCCCTCCTGAGATGTGTGCAAACCTGGTGGCCAACTACAAGAAACGTCTGACCTCTGTGATTGCCAACAAGGGTTTTGCCACCAAGTACTAAGTCATGTTTTGCAGAGGGGTCAAATACTTATTTCCGTCATTAAAATGCAAATCAATTTATAACATTTTTGACATGCGTTTTTCTGGATTTTTTTGTTGTTATTCTGTCTCTCACTGTTCAAATAAACCTACCATTAAAATTATAGACTGATCATGTCTTTGTCAGTGGGCAAACGTACAAAATCAGCAGGGGATCAAATACTTTTTTCTCTCACTGTATATCATAGACCAGGGATAGGCAACCCTGTTCCTGGAGTGCCGCAGGTACTACCTGTCATAGACTATTACTTTGTAAGGGAAAATAACTATTTAATTGTATTTATAAAGTGTGTTATTAAGCCATGAACACATATAACCTGATGCCTGAAAAAAAAAAAAAAATATATATATTAATAATAATGTATGCACTCACTAATGTCACGATCGTCAAACAGAGATGAGGACCAAGGCGCAGCGTTGCAGGCAAACATACTCTTTAATTAGAGACACGATCAAAAACAACAAACGATACGTGACAGTTCACGGTCTAACATAAACAGACTTGAAACAAGATCCCACAAACACAAATGGGAAACAGACAGTTTAAATATGGCTCCCAATCAGAGACAACCAACGACAGCTGACACTCGTTGCCTCTGATTGGGAGCCACTCAGGCCAACATAGAAATACACATACTAGATAAACAAATGAAATGCACACCCTGGCTCAACATACAAGTGTCCCCAGAGCCAGGGCGTGACAGTCCCCCCCCCCTAAAGGCGCGGACTCCGACCGCGCCCACCAAACACCACAGGGGAGGGACCGGGTGGGCACTCCGCTTAGGCGGCGGATCCGGCTCCGGGCCTGAACCCCGCTCCCTCTCCAACCCCCCACAGTACCCCTGGTCCGGTCTGGCCCCGCTGGCCGGAGCTGGACTGCACACTGGTGGAGCGGATTGCTCTAGCTCCGGCGTGAAGCATCTGACCGGTGCCGGACCAGCCACCGGTGGAACAGGCACGGGCCGTGCCGGACTGACGACGCACACCACTGGCTTGGTGTGGGGAGCAGGAACGGGCCGAGCTGGGCTGACGAAACGCACCACTGACTTGGTGCGGGGAGCAGGAACGGGCCGCGCCGGGCTGACGAAACGCACCACTGACTTGGTGCGGGGAGCAGGAGCGGGCCGGACCGGGCTGACGAAGCGCACCACTGACTTGGTGCGGGGAGCAGGAACGGGCCGTGCCGGGCTGACGAAGCGCACCACTGACTTGGTGCGAGTGGCAGGAACAGGCCGGACCGTACTGGGAACACACACCACTGGCCCTACGTGGGGATCAGGAACAGGCCGGACCGGACTGGCAACACACGCCAGTACCTCTCGCCGTGCCTCTACATCCTCCTTCCCCCTGGTGACCAGTGACTCCCGTAACCTGGCGGCCTCCTGCTGCCCCGTCGTCCACGGCGTTAGCCCCCCCCTAAAAAATGTATGGGCTTCACTCCTACCCGTGGACCAGGTCTCCATGCTCCTCGCCAGCCTTTCGCCCTTCTGCCTCCACGTCAAGCCCCTCTCTTCCTCACATGGCTTGACCCAGTCGAGGAGGCGAAGGAGATCCGCTAGAGATCTCTCAGGCGCTGGCTCCTGGACTTGCTGCTTGGTCCAGTCTTGGTGGGATCTTCTGTCACGATCGTCAAACAGAGATGAGGACCAAGGCGCAGCGTTGCAGGCAAACATACTCTTTAATTAGAGACACGATCAAAAACAACAAACGATACGTGACAGTTCACGGTCTAACATAAACAGACTTGAAACAAGATCCCACAAACACAAATGGGAAACAGACAGTTTAAATATGGCTCCCAATCAGAGACAACCAACGACAGCTGACACTCGTTGCCTCTGATTGGGAGCCACTCAGGCCAACATAGAAATACACATACTAGATAAACAAATGAAATGCACACCCTGGCTCAACATACAAGTGTCCCCAGAGCCAGGGCGTGACAGTCCCCCCCCCCTAAAGGCGCGGACTCCGACCGCGCCCACCAAACACCACAGGGGAGGGACCGGGTGGGCACTCCGCTTAGACGGCGGATCCGGCTCCGGGCCTGATCCCCGCTCCCTCTCCAACCCCCCACAGTACCCCTGGTCCAGTCTGGCCCCGCTGGCCGGAGCTGGACTGCACACTGGTGGAGCGGATTGCTCTAGCTCCGGCGTGAAGCATCTGACCGGTGCCGGACCAGCCACCGGTGGAACAGGCACGGGCCGTGCCGGACTGACGACGCACACCACTGGCTTGGTGTGGGGAGCAGGAACGGGCCGAGCTGGGCTGACGAAACGCACCACTGACTTGGTGCGGGGAGCAGGAGCGGGCCGGACCGGGCTGACGAAGCGCACCACTGACTTGGTGCGGGGAGCAGGAACGGGCCGTGCCGGGCTGACGAAGCGCACCACTGACTTGGTGCGAGTGGCAGGAACAGGCCGGACCGTACTGGGAACACACACCACTGGCCCTACGTGGGGATCAGGAACAGGCCGGACCGGACTGGCAACACACGCCAGTACCTCTCGCCGTGCCTCTACATCCTCCTTCCCCCTGGTGACCAGTGACTCCCGTAACCTGGCGGCCTCCTGCTGCTCCGTCGTCCACGGCGTTAGCCCCCCCCTAAAAAATTTATGGGCTTCACTCCTACCCGTGGACCAGGTCTCCATGCTCCTCGCCAGCCTTTCGCCCTTCTGCCTCCACGTCAAGCCCCTCTCTTCCTCACATGGCTTGACCCAGTCGGGGAGGCGAAGGAGATCCGCTAGAGATCTCTCAGGCGCTGGCTCCTGGACTTGCTGCTTGGTCCAGTCTTGGTGGGATCTTCTGTCACGATCGTCAAACAGAGATGAGGACCAAGGCGCAGCGTTGCAGGCAAACATACTCTTTAATTAGAGACACGATCAAAAACAACAAACGATACGTGACAGTTCACGGTCTAACATAAACAGACTTGAAACAAGATCCCACAAACACAAATGGGAAACAGACAGTTTAAATATGGCTCCCAATCAGAGACAACCAACGACAGCTGACACTCGTTGCCTCTGATTGGGAGCCACTCAGGCCAACATAGAAATACACATACTAGATAAACAAATGAAATGCACACCCTGGCTCAACATACAAGTGTCCCCAGAGCCAGGGCTTGACAACTAACTGTAAGTCTCTCTGGATAAGAGCGTCTGCTAAATGACTAAAATGTAAAATGTAAAATGTAAAATGTAAAATGTAATGATGTGATAGCCTAAGTGAGACAGTACTCTTAATGGTCTTCATCACAGATGACTCCGAAAAGGCTATGATTGATGGCCATGAAATCGTTTCACACAAGAACCTGCTTTCGCTTCATTCCCTGGAGTGTCCAGTCAGACTGCGTTGACATTCAAAGTCAAACTGGATGAGTTGAGAGCCACTTGTGCAGGTCAACACCCAGATGTGCACTGATGTAAAACTCTTCAGCCTAAGGCTCGACTGCAGTATGCTATTGAGCTCCAAAGTGGATCTCGCTCCCCTTGTAGACGCTGGTCTCTGCTGGGGAGAAATGGAGGATAACAGGAGCTGTCTCTGGATGTGTACGGCTGTGTCTACCACGGCATCATTCCGCATGAGCTCCTCCACGCACTGGACTTCTACCACGAGCACACCAGGAGCGACAGAGACCAGTATGTCAAGATCAATTGGGAAAATATTCCTCATGGTGACAAGTTTATTGCCACACCACACAGGACAGACACACATACACATAACAGTACAAGAAGGAAATTGAAGGTGAATAGTGGTTTTATGGTCAGTGATGCATTAACACCAGTTGGGAAGTCCAGAGTAGTGGACAGAAGGGTCCATGGGTGAGTTGTAGTGGAGGACAGGAGTTTACAGAGACTTCACCCTGCCCTCCTGGGAACAACTAAAGCACAATCAAAGTGGGGGTTCTGCTGCCCCCGGTAGAGCCTCTAATTAGCTGATCTAGGTCAGATGACAAAAGATAGGAGAGAGTTCCAGAAAGACCCCTAGCAACAGAGGTGGAATTGTCCTCTATCACTGGACAATAAGGTCAGGCTGAGGTCGGGGGTTACCTCAGCTGTAAGAAGGCCCAAAGTTTCTCTTAAGTCCCAGAGCCAGGGAGAGGGTTTGAATGGTTAATGTCTGAGGGTTTTGTACACACTAACTTTGCATCCCTTCCATTTTAGGACTGCCTTCTCAATTGAGAATGGAGGGGGGGGGGGGGGGGAAACATCCCTCCCGTTCCTGACCCCTCTGTGAACATAGGACAGAGGCAGGATGTGTCTGACATTGACATGCAGAGGATCAACAACCTACAGTATATATGAGTGCAGTTTGAACTACATGGGGTCTAATGAAATAAAAATGAATGTTTTTACAATTTACCCAATTTGAATTTCCTTAAAGGGTCAATATGCAGTTGTTACATACATTTTTGAACTTGTAAATTAATGATATGTACCTATTGATTCTTGAAGAATATACTTATACATGCCTCATGAGCTTCATTCAACTGTCGTACCCCATCAGAATCCAAAATATAAGCTTATTTTACTCCAATGTTTGTAAACATTGTAAATGTAAACACTGTATAGCCTCAAAACATGCGGAAAACTAGAATTTTGATATTTCGGATGGTCAGTCCTTGCATTCATAGCGCTGCCCATACATTTGAGAGTGCTTACATTTCTCCAGGCCCATCCCTCAGCTTTTTGCCAAAACAGAGGCAGGGAGGTCCCCTTGGCTATTGTTTCAACTGCGGATTGGCCTTTTAAGTGTTCATGAGTGCAAATGGTTGCTAATTTGTTGATAAGTCATAATATATAATACCAGTCAAAAGTTTGGACACACCTACTAATTTCAGGGTTTTTCTTTATTTTTACTTTTTTCTACATTGTAGAATAATAGTGAAGACATCAAAACTATGAAATATATATCATGTAGTAACCAAAAAAGTGTTAAACAAATCAAAATAGATTTTATATTTGACTTTCTTCAAAGTAGCCACCCTTTGCCTTGATGACAGCTTTGCACACTCTTGGCATTCTCTCAACCAGATTCATGAGGTAGTCACCTGGAATGCATTTCAAATAACAGGTGTGCTATGTTAAAAGTCAATTTGTGGAATTTCTTTCCTTCTTAATGCGTTTGAGCCAATCAGTTGTGTTGTGACAAGGAAGGGGTGGTATACAAAAGATAGCCCTATTTGGTAAAATACCAAGTCATATTATGGCAAGAACAGCTCAAATAAACAAAGAGAAATGACAGTCCATCATTACTTTAAGACATGAAGGTCAGTCAATCCGGAAAATTTCAAGAACTTTTAAAGTTTCTTCAAGGCCATTTTGAGCCTGTAATCGAACCCACAATTGCTGATGCTCCAGATACTCAACTAGTCTCAAGAAGGCCAGTTTTATTGCTTCTTTAATCAGCACAACCGTTTTCAGTTGTGCTAACACAATTGCAAAAGGGTTTTCTAATGATCAATTAGCCTTTTAAAATGATAAACTTGGATTAGCAAACACAACGTGCCATTGGAACACAGGACTGATGGTTGCTGATAATGGGCCTCTGTATGCCTATGTAGATATTCTATAAAAAATCAGCCGTTTCCAGCTACAATAGCCATTTACAACATTAACAATGTCTACACAGTATTTCTGATCAATTTGATGTTATTTTAAAGGACAGAAAAATTGCTTTTCTTTCAAAAACAAGGACATTTCTAAGTGACCCTAACCTTTTGAACGGTAGTGTACATATGAAATGAGTAAAGCCAGTATGTAAACATTATTAAAGTGACTAGTGTTCCATTATTAAAGTGGCCAGTGATTCCATGTCTATGTATATAGGGCAGCAGCCTCTAAGGTGCAGGGTTGAGTAACCGGGTGATAGCCGGCTAGTGAAGGCTATTTAACAGTCTGATGGCCTTGAGATAGAAGCTGTTTTTCAGTCTCTCGGTCCCAGCTTTGATGCACCTGTATTGACCTCGCTTTCTGGATGATAGCGGGGTGAACAGGCCGTGGCTCGGGTGGTTGATGTTCTTGATGAACTTTTTGGACTTCCTGTGACATTGGGTGCTGTAGGTGTCCTGGAGGGCAGGCAGTGTGCCCCCGGTGATGTGTTGGGCAGGCCGCACCACCCTCTGGAGAGTTGCCGTACCAGGCGGTGATTCAGTCCGACAGGATGCTCTCAATTGTACGTCTGTAAAAGTTTGTGAGGGTCTTAGGGGCCAATTTCTTCAGCCTCCTGAGGTTGAAGAGGCACTGTTGCGCGTTCTTCACCACACTGTCTGTGTGGGTGGACCATTTCAGATTGTCAGTGATGTGTATGCCGAGGAACTTGAAGCTTTTCACCTTCTCCACTGCGGTCCCGTCGATGTGGATAGTGGGGTACTCCCTCTGCTGTTTCCTGAAGTCCACGATCATCTCCTTTGTTTTGTTGACGTTGAGTGAGAGGTTATTTTCCTGGTACCACTCTGCCAGGGGCCTCACCTCCTCCTTGTAGGCTGTCTCGTCATTGTTGATAATCAGGCCTACTACTGTTGTGTTGTCTGCAAACTTGATGATTGAGTTGGAGGCGTGCTTGGCCACGCAGTCATGGGTGAACATGGAGTACAGGAGGGGGCTGAGCACGCACCCTTGTGGGGCCCCTGTGTTGAGGATCAGCAAAGTGGAGGTGTTGTTTCCTACCTTCACCACCTGGGGGCGGCCCGTCAGGAAGTCCAGGACCCAGTTGCACAGGGCGGGGTTCAGACCCAGGGCCCCGAGCTTAATGATGAGCTTGGAGGGTACCATGGTGTGAGCTATAGTCAATGAACAGCATTCTTACATAGGTATTCCTCTCATCCAGATGGAAACTGAGAGAAGATGGATGTCTGCAATATAATTCTCAATGACTGTTGTTATTCATGCTCATTGTATCACTGTATCTTCATTGTCCTACATTTACTGACATTCATGTTTTTGAATGAATTAAACTTCTTAAAACCTTCCCAATAAAACAAATCACTCGGAAGTTAGTTTTTCGTCTTCCTCAGGAAAATAATGAAAATGCTGGAAAATCTCTCACACACGCATGCACACACAAAATAGCATTAAATGTTGTTTATTTTACATGACAGTTGTGTGCAATACATTTGAAGAATAATACTAAAAACTGTTTATACAATGGCATATGCTGTACACAGTGCACGCATTAATAAAGTCACTACTGTAATATTTAGGCTAGGTCATGCAAGACCAGATAAGGTTATTGGCATGGACAGGATTTACTTCTGCCTTGAATTGTCCTATTACAGACCAAAAGCTTTGTTCTCTAAAGTTTGGTCTCCAGACATTTGGGGAAATTTATTATGGGAGAGTTATTGTCGTAAGGCCTTTTTTCTTCTTCCATAAAGGCAAACAATAGGGATTGATTCAGAGTTAGAAATCCCTTGTGTTGCTGATTCTATCCAGAGGAAACAGGGCTGTGCAGTTCCATGATTTCCCAGTAGGGTGCGCTCAAACAAACATGGATGAGAGGGGCACGTTAAAACATTATTAAAACCCTACGAAGGCAACCTCAGGTCAATGCAGTGATGTGATTAAGTTTTGTTAGGATTATTTGAATAAGTCACTCTACTATTACATCAAGGCCCACTCCATATTTGAATCAGGCATATATGACATACACACACTCAAACAATGTTTATGAAACATGAACAGTGCAGTGAATAAAACATAATCAATCAGGTTCAGTTCTTCTCACATCACTTCTTCTTTTTCTTCCCTTCCATCCACTTTCAACATGTTCTGGAAACAAACCCCTGGTTAGTCAGATCGTTAAGCTCTCCCAAGGGGAGAATTGTGCTGCTACCAGTGGAGTTCCTGTTCATTTAGTTGACATACAAACTCACCCTTGAGCATTTGGTTCATCCATCCTTTGGTGGAGGGGGCGGGGGATTTTCAGGGGGTATGTCTCCATTTGGCTTTTTCTTCTCAGGCTTGGTAGGGCTGATTTTGGGGATCTTCTCTGGGGGTGGTCTTCTGGGCCGTCTCTTTTTGGGCTTCCGTGAGCGTGCAGAGACGGGCTGTGCTGGATCCAATAAGGGATCCAAATGTAATTTCCCACTCACTGCATCTGAGGACTCATCAATGTATGCCAGGTTCTCTCCAAAGTAGTCCAGAGGCTGGGAATACAGGGCAACTGGGAAGGTGTTCTCCTTATCGACATCCTTCTCTTTACCCTCTACTACCCGCTCCGACTGTGTGGCCTCTGACCCTGTCTCAGACCCCGACTCGGACTCGTTGGAGGAGTAAGAGTATGAGGACGATCCAGTCTCTGATTGGCTGTTCAGCTGGCCATTCTCCGTAACCCTGTCCCCCTCCCCAGGGGCCCTGGTCCCAGACACATGTCCCGCCCCATGGTCCCGGCTGCGAGGACCATGGCGATGCTTTCGCCTGCGTCGTTTGAAGGGGTCGTCTGGCATGCGGAAGTCCACGGACATGTTCTGGATGTTCTGACCCCAGTCAGTGGTACGGGCTCTGAGCTCCTCCATCTGGGAAGAGAGAGAGGAAAGAGATCAAATCAAATCACTATTTATTTCAAGTGCATTTAACAAAAGTCACAACAGAAAAAAAGAGAGTTGATAAGAGAGGAAGGGAGAAGAATAGAACAGGTGGCTGTAGGTGACTTCAAATGAATGGTGCAGCCCTTTTGCTTTAAGGTTGTACTCTCCCGGTCAGTAAACCCCCCCCCCACACCTCAGCTCTGGTCTTCTTGGACAGGACCCGAAGCCAGTTTGCAATCATGGACAGGATAGAGGCAAAGTAGGCCAGGCCCAGCAGGATCCAGAACCACACCAGAGGCTTGTACCAGTGGTCTTTACCACCATCTCCGCTATCACCTGACAGAGAGACGCAAGAGGATAAGGATAGATAGGGATTTATAGGTGTAGATAATGGAGAATCTGCAACTTTACAGGTCTACAGGTTAGTTCACACATGAAAGATGTGCTGTTAATCTCACAGGAGTTAACATTTCAGATTGCACTGCCTGAAAACTCTAGGGGCGATGAAACCACACAGATGAGCCAATTAATAATTCAACTGTTGTAGGACGATTGTGAATAATTTAATAAATGAAATGTCCAGTTTGATGACTGACCATATTTTATCGCTCCTGACTGGACTACTTAGTGCCCAAACACAGTGTGAAACTACATCTGGAGTAGCAGGCACAGGGTTGGGTTGGTTACTTTCTAAATGTAATCCGTTACAGTTACTAGTTACCTGTCCAAAATTGTAATCAGTAATGTAATCTGATTACATTCAGTTACTTTCAGATTACTTTCCCCTTAAGTGGCATTAGAAGAAGACAAAAATATATGTTACCAATTGAACAACATCTTTTGCAAGATATATCAATGTTAAAGTTTATGGTTATATATACATATACAGTACCAGTCAAAAGTTTGGACACACCTACTCATTCAAGGTTTTTCTTTATTTTTAATATTTTTTAAATTGTAGAATAATAGTGAAGACATCAAAACTATGAAATAACACATTTGGAATCATGTAGTAACCAAAAAAAGTGTTAAACAAATAAAAATATATTTTATATTTGAGATTCTTCAAATAGCCATCATTTGCCTTGATGACAGCTTTGCACACTCTTGGCATTCTCTCAACCAGCTTCACCTGGAATGCTTTTCCAACAGTCTTGATGGAGTTCCCACATATGCTGAGCACTTGTTTTCTGCTTTTCCTTCACTCTGCGGTCCGACTCATCCCAACCCATCTCAATTGGGTTGAGGTCAGGGGATTGTGGAGGCCAGGTCATCTGATGCAGCACTCCGTCACTCTCCTTCTTGGTAAAATAGCCTTTACTCAGCCTGGAGGTGTGTTGGGTCATTGTCCTGTTGAAAAACAAATGATAGTCCCACTAAGCACAAACCAGATGGGATGGCGTATCGCTGCAGAATGCTGTGGTAGCCATGCTGGTTAAGTGTGCCTTGAATTCTAAATAAAATCACAGACAGTGTCACCAGCAAAGCACCCCGACACCATAACACCTCCTCCTCCATACTTTACGGTGGGAACTACACATGCAGAGATCATCCGTTCACACACCGCGTCTCACAAAGACATGGCATTTTAACCAAAAATCTCAAATTTGGGCTCCAGACCAAAGGACACATTTCCACAGGTCTAATGTACATTGCTCGTGTTTCTTGGCCCAAGCAGGTCTCTTCTTATTATTGGTGTCCTTTAGTAGTGGTTTCTTTGCAGCAATTCGACCATGAAATCCTGATTCACACAGTCCCCTATGAACAGTTGATGTTGAGATGTGTCTGTTACTTCAACTCTGTGAAGCCTTTATTTGGGCTGCAATTTCTGAGGCTGGTAACTCTAATGAACTTATCCTCTGCAGCAGAGGTAACTCTGGGACTTCCATTCCTGTGGCAGTCCTCATGAGAGCCAGTTTCATCATAGCGCTTGATGGTTTTTGCGTCTACACTTGAAGAAACTTTCAAAGTTCTTGAAATGTTCCGTATTGACTGACCTTCATGTCTTAAAGTAATGATGGACTGTCGTTTCTCTTTGCTTATTTGAGCTGTTCTTGCCATATGGACTTGGTCTTTTACCAAATAGGGATATCTTCTGTATACCCCCCCTACCTTGTCACAACACAACTGATTGGCTCAAACGCATTAAGATGGAAATAAATTCCACAAATTAACTTTTAAGAAGGCACACCTGTTAATTGAAATGCATTCCAGGTGACTACCTCATGAAGCTGGTTGAGAGAATGCCAAGAGTGTGCAAAGCTGTCATCAAGGCAAAGGGAGGCAATTTGAAGAATCTCAAATGTAAAATATATTTTGATTTGTTTGACACTTTTTTGGTTACTACATGTGTTATTTCATAGTTTTGATGTCTTCACTATTATTCTACAATGTAAAAAATAGTTTAAAAAAGTTTTTTGGGGAATGAGTAGGTGTGTCCAAACCTTTGAGTGGTAGTGTATATATACAGTGGGGAGAACAAGTATTTGATACACTGCCGATTTTGCAGGTTTTCCTACTTACAAAGCATGTAGAGGTCTGTAGTTTTTATCATAGGTACACTTCAACTGTGAGAGACGGAATCTAAAACAAAAATCCAGAAAATCACATTGTATGATTTTTAAGTAATTAATTTGCATTTTATTGCATGACATAGGTATTTGATCACCTACCAACCAGTAAGAATTCCGTCTCTCACAGACCTGTTAGTTTTTTTTAAAGAAGCCCTCCTGTTCTCCACTCATTATCTGTATTAACTGCACCTGTTTGAACTCGTTACCTGTATAAAAGACACCTGTCCACACACTCAATCAAACAGACTCCAAACTCTCCACAATGGCCAAGACCAGAGAGCTGTGTAAGGACATCAGGGATAAAATTGTAGACGTGCACAAGAATGGGATGGGCTACAGGACAATAGGCAAGCAGCTTGGTGAGAAGGCAACAACTGTTGGCGCAATTATTAGAAAATGGAAGAAGTTCAAGATGACAGTCAATCACCCTCGGTCTGGGGCTCCATGCAAGATCTCACCTCGTGGGGCATCAATGATCATGAGGAAGGTGAGGGATCAACCCAGAACTACACGGCAGGACCTGGTCAATGACCTGAAGAGAGCTGGGACCACAGTCTCAAAGAAAACCATTAGTACCACACTATGCCGTCATGGATTAAAATCCTGCAGCGCACGCAAGGTCCCCCTGCTCAAGCCAGCGCATGTCCAGGCCCATCTGAAGTTTGCCAATGACCATCTGGATGATCCAGAGGAGGAATGGGAGAAGGTCATGTGGTCTGATGAGACAAAAATAGAGCTTTTTGGTCTAAACTCTACTCGCCGTGTTTGGAGGAAGAAGAAGGATGAGTACAACCCCAAGAACACCATCCCAACCGTGAAGCATGGAGGTGGAAACATCATTCTTTGGGGATGCTTTTCTGCAAAGGGGACAGGACGACTGCACCGTATTGAGGGGAGGATGGATGGGGCCATGTATCGCGAGATCTTGGCCAACAACCTCCTTCCCTCAGTAAGAGCATTGAAGATGGGTCATGGCTGGGTCTTCCAGCATGACAACGACCCGAAAAACACAGCCAGGGCAACTAAGGAGTGGCTCCGTAAGAAGCATCTCAAGGTCCTGGAGTGGCCTAGCCAGTCTCCAGACCTGAACCCAATAGAAAATCTTTGGAGGGAGCTGAAAGTCCGTATTGCCCAGCGACAGCCCCGAAACCTGAAGGATCTGGAGAAGGTCTGTATGGAGGAGTGGGCCAAAATCCCTGCTGCAGTGTGTGCAAACCTGGTCAAGACCTACAGGAAACGTATGATGTAATTGCAAACAAAGGTTTCTGTACCAAATATTAAGTTCTGCTTTTCTGATGTATCAAATACTTATGTCATGCAATAAAATGCAAATTAATTACTTAAAAATCATACAATGTGATTTTCTGGATTTTTGTTTTAGATTCCGCCTCTCACAGTTGAGGTGTACCTATGATAAAAATTACAGACCTCTACATGCTTTGTAAGTAGGAAAACCTGCAAAATCGGCAGTGTATCAAATACTTGTTCTCCCCACTGTATATATATATATATAATTTATAAATCCAAAAATGTATGTAGCAACAACAGATTGCCCCTTTAAGTATATCAAAAGTGTGTGAGTTTGAGCATTTGTCATTAGGCCTATGGATTTTTTTTTTTTAAATCAGCATGAATTAGATTGAGCAATAAAAGCCCACTTTTATTCCATAGGCTGATATCTGCACTATGCAGCTGTTGCAAGAGCGCATTTTTCACTGGCTGTCCACTGGTTTCAAACATAATGATTGATAGGCAGCTTAAACTTCTTGAATTCAACCATTATTGGGTTCAAATACACATTTAGATTTGTGAACAGCCATCCACAACAACCACAATCCGTAAGGCGCAAATAGCTAAATGAGAGAGCAGCAATGTGATTCACATCAATGTGCTATGTAGATATCAATAATACATTATATCCGTATCGCCGTAGACTACACCAGCCGTAGTCGCACCATTGGAAGACATAACTTCGACTGTAGCCTACAAAAGCCTATTCCTGCTCTTTTCCCGCGATCCATCAAAGCCATTTGGTGTGTCATCATAGTGGTCTCTGACTTGTGGTCAGACTCGCTCAGGTGGAACAAATTTAAATGTACGCCTTTTTTCAATGCTGATTTGAATGTCATTGAGAAAACAGAGATTTTTTTTCTTAAACATCCTTTCTGAATTTAAAAGTAATCCTCAAAGTAATCATCTAGTTTTTAAAAAGTATCTGTTATCTGATTGCAATATTTTGCTGGCAACGTAACGGATTACAGTTACAGTTTTTTTGTAATCCCTTACATGTAACGGATTACATGTAATCTGTTACTCCCCAACCCTGAGCAGGCATGTACAGTTGAAGTTGGAAGTTTACTACATACACCTTAGCCAAATACATTTACTCAGTTTTTCACAATTCCTGACATTTAATCCTAGTAAAAATTCCCTGTTTTAGGTCAGTTAGGATCACCACTTTATTTTAAGAATGTGAAATGTCAGAATAGAGAAGGATTTCTTTCAGCTTTTATTTATTTCATCACATTCCCAGTGGGTCAGAAGTTTACATACACTCAATTAATATTTGGTACCATTGCCTTTAAATTGTTTAACTTGGGTCAAATGTTTCGGGTAGCCTTCCACATGCTTCCCACAATAAATTGGGTGAATTTTGGCCCATTCCTCCTGACAGAGCTGGTGTAACGGAGTCAGGTTTGAAGGCCTCCTTGCTCGCACACGCTTTTTCAGTTCTGCCCACACATTTTCTATAGGATTGAGGTCAGGGCTTTGTTATGGCCACTCCAATACCTTGACTTTGTTGTCCTTAAGCCATTTTGCCACAAATTTGGAAGTATGCTTGGGGTCATT